CCCCCGGCCCAGCTGCGCCTCCAGGAGCCCTCCCTCCCCCCGAAACGGGTCCAGATTTCACAAGGTTATGGAATGGCATCCCTGAAATTAGTTCACAGTTGTCTCCTGACGCACCAGCAGTAAAAACCAACCCAAATTACCAGAGGCTGCTGGTTCCTTTTCTGTGTCACAGGCACTATGAAAAGCTCGCTCGCACAAAGCACCAGGGAGAGCCGCGGCGGAGCCAAGCTGTTCCTGCAGGATGCAGGAGCCACGTTCCACACACCCCCGGGGCTGCTCCGGCGGGGAATGCCGGCAGGGACCGTGGGCAGCTCGCTGCTGGGGGGCAAAGCACGGGCATGGAGGGTGCAGGGATGCACTACACAACCCCAAAGTTTACCCTAATTCAAGTAACAGAGCCCACCCCAGTCCCCAGGACAGCGGGATGGCCGGAGCAGGGTGCCCAGCACACCACACCGGGAAAAGGGCTCTTGCACAAGGAGCCTGAATCAGGGCTTTGTTACCCAACATTGCACAACAGCAGGGAGAAGACGAAGCAGCAACGATCAAGTAAGGAGCTGAAAAATATTACAAAATCTTAATCCCCCCCGAGACCCTCGAGGGTGCTTTAAATACGGAGAGAAATTGCCTAATTAGCTTTTTTTTTTTTTTTTTTTTAATGGATAATTGCCTTCCTGAGCTTTCAGAGGCAGCTTAGCAACCTTTTAACAGAGGCGCAGCCGCGGCAGGACGGGGCTGGAAGGGGTTTTATCCCTTTCCCGAAGAGCTGCTGACAGTAAAACCTCCAGCACCACAGGCTGGGGCTGTAATGGGCACTTGGGTGTCGTTAGGAAAAACACGATTCCGAGGCCGCTGGTCAATACGTGTTCACATAAAAGGCCAATGTTCTAATATTCATAATCCCCGGGCCCACGGGGCAGGGCTTTAATGAAAGTCTCTCCAGTTCTGGGCTCCACAACATCAAAGAGGCCAATAAAACTCCTCTCACACGCTGACAGGCGGGAGGCAGACGGGGAAGGCAGCGCTGGGGGAAGGCCCTGCGGTTTGCCTTGGATGGGGCAGCACGGGCAAGGGCACGGAGCAAGCCTGGGTCCAGGGAAGGGGCTGAGCACCCTGTGACCCAGATGCACCTTGTGCCTGGAAGGAGAGGTCTGGAAGAAACTTCCACCCAGGAGAAGGGCTGGGAGCAGCACCCTGCAGCCAGGAAAGGGACACCCTGTGCCCAGGGAAGGGGCTGAGCAGCCAGCAGGGCTGAAGCCGTGGGATCCAGCTGAGCCCCGGCTGCGGAATTCGGCCCATCCGGAGGGCACCCAGGTGCAGCCCTGCCTGCATCCTGCGGCCCTGCAAGGACAGGATGCAGCTGCTGCGGCAGCTCCTGCTCTGCAAAACAAGGCGGGCGAGGACGAGGGGGAGCTGCGGCGGGGGATGAAGGGCACCATTTAACGCCTCTCATTGCTAGTCAAGCCGACATCCTGCAGAGGCACAGGGAGGCACAGATCCAAGGAATAGCAGTGCCGGCTCTCCCGGGGCAGCCCCATGGCCACCCTGCAGGTCCTTGTCCCTCATCTTCCTCCTCTTCCTCCTCCCCAGAGAGGGAGCCCCATTGGCAAAGGGACCCCAGGGGACAGCTGAGCTTTCTCTCAGAACTGCAGGGCTCCTCCCTGGGAAGTTTATGAGCCGGGAGCACTAAACCCGCCTTCCTCCCGGGTGGGATTATTTAATCCAGCAGCACTCAGAGCTGCTGCCGGCAGGCCCGGGATCGCTGGGGTGATCAGAGCCTGGCATCCCGCTCCACCGCCCCGGCTCACGCCGAGAAGGGGAGAAGATTCAGCAAACTCCTGCAGACACCGTGTTTTATGGGGTTTTTTATTTTCCCAGTCAGAACACGTGTCATTAGCGATTCCTCCTGAAAGGAGCAGCTGTTCTTTGGCCATTACTGCTCCAAAATTAACCAAGACGGAAGAATTCAATCGCATCCCTCCTCCAGGCCCTGCTGAGGGCTCCATTAAGGGACTGGGAGCGTCTTTTGCTCGGAGTTCACCGGCACCCGCGTGCCCGGGAAGGCACACACGGCCTTGAGTAAGCCACGAGCAAACCACAAGTAAACTCCACCGTGGAGCAAGCCCAGAGTGAATGTTATCGGCAGCAGCACCGGTGTGGGAGACGCTCCAAGCTGCCGGGCAGGAACCCAGCCAAGAACCAGGAGGGAGGATAATCTCCACAAGAGCCAGCCCCTTTCTCCCTTCCGCTCTCAATCTCTGCGAGGATATTTCAAGGCCTCCAAAGAACCAAAAAAAAATAAAAAAAAAACCCCACAGGAGCAGGAGGAAACAAAAGTGCAGCGAAGGAACAGGACGCCGAGGGGCAGCGCGGGGTCAGGCGGCACCTGCGCGCCACGGCCTCGCTCCACAGCAGCTGGGAAAGGGAGGAGCGGCCGTAATTCCATCAGCAGCCCCAGCAAACAAATAATAAATAACAAGGACTGGTAAACAAAGCTGAGGCATAATCACAGGCTTTGTCAGAGGGAAAGACGAGGCCAAATTTATACCCTCGGCACCAAAAAAAGAGGCAGTTCCCATAAATTTCCCTTCCTTCGAGGGTGATGGATGGATGGATGGATGGATGGATGGATGGTCCTTGGGCTGGCACAGGGAAGAACAGTCCTGTGGGCCAGGTGGGCACTGGGCTCATCCCAAACAGGGATCACTGCTCTGTCCCTCCAGGGGATCCCAGGCCTGCACCACACCCTTCCCTTCCCAAAAGAACAGCTCCCACAATGGACCACTGGAGGTCACAGTGGCTTTTCCAGCAGACCAAAGTGCAGCTTTTCCTGGGAAAAGGCCCCAGGAAGCTGGGAAGATGCACAGAGCTGCCTGCAGATTACCCTGCTTCCACCACACTTTAAAAAAAAACCCCAAATTTCTCCTTCTTTTTAAGAGTTGACCTGGGAACAGGGCTGGGAAACCCAACTCCAGCAGCACATACCTGGAAGTTTGACTGAATCCTGGTCAATTCTGCTCTCCTCCCTGTCCAGGTGCTCCAAGCCCACTGGTTCTGTCCTCACAGGGGTGTCCTCAGTGGCAGACAGGGTGGTGTAGGTGCTGATCACCAGCATGCCCAGCCCAATCCACAGGATCATCTGCACAGAGGGACAGAGGGACAGTGAGCACAGGAAATCCAAGGGGACTGCTCCCCACGGCATTCCCACGGTGCCTGCACAGAATGCCAAGCTCAGCACGGTGACATGTGTTGGGGAGAGCAGAGAAATGTCAAAGGGAAACAGGAAAACCAGTTGCTCCTGGCTGAGGTTCATTTTTGGGTGTAGAGCCATGGGAATGGAAGCTGTTGGAATGGAAGCCGTTGGAGGCTGGAAGCTGTTGGAAAGGCTTTGGAAGGGCTCAAAAGTGAGTGAAGTGAGTGGGCAGGACCCAGGGATAGGAAAATGCATGTGGCAGACAAGTCCTACTGCAAAGACTCATTTCCTGGTATTCCCAGCATGAGAACTCCATGAAATCAGGTCTGGCTGAGCACAGAGAGCCTGGCCTGGTTACAGCCCCAAACCATTCCAGGCAGCTGCTTCCAAATCCTTGGGTTTGAAAGCAAGGCTAACATGTCCACACAGAGATCCTGGTCCCAGGGCTCAAGAAGCTGCTGAGAAATGACTCCCTGATTCCCAGAAAGCCAGGATCAAACGGGGTAAAAATAGAAGGGTGGAATCTGGATCCCATGGAGGGAAGGGCTCTTGGAATTCCTCTACCTCAAAAAGGAGAAAGTGATGAGCAGCAAAGGAATTTTTACAGCTTGTTATGTGATGACAAATTGATCTAAAAGGATCTAATTCCACATGAGTCATAGGAAGTGTTGGATGGCACTTGGACAACCTGGTCTAGTGGAAGATGTCCCTGCCCATGGCAGGAGGAGGAGCTGAATGAGCTTTAAGGCCCCTCCCAACCCAAACCATTTCATGATTCCACGACTCCCCATCCTCACTGCGCAGATTTACATCCCAATTCACAAAAAGCACAACAAAAAGATGCTTCTCAGTGTGGGGAAAACCAAGAACGGCCACAGGGAGCACTTCACCACTGGAAGAGCTGCCAGAAAACTGCAAATCAGGGGGAGAGGTGAAATTGGAAGGAGGAATTAAAACACTGGCACTTCCAGAGGGGAGGAGGGGCCGGTGCTTTCCTCACCCACTGGGGGAGGTGACCCAGAAGGGAGCGGTGTGGTCAGAGTGGGCTCAGGGGAGCGCGCAGGGCCCGTTCCCAGCACGCCCCGCAGACAGCCCGACGCCTTCGGAAGGAAAAGGCTGGCGGGACGTGGAGCAGCTCTGCACCAGGGGCAGCGTGGCCAGGGAGCACAGGCCAGACCTTAGAGCTGCTGCAGAGGAAACGGGAGCAGAATGTGCTGCCTGCCTTGCCCGGGGTGCACAAAGAGCAGATATCCTGCCATGCACCCCCCCGGCCCCGGGCGAACGCCGAGTCAGCAGGTCCTGCACTGCTGCCCTGGGCTGAGCTGCTCCACTTCCTCCCCTCCCACAATCCACAGCCCCGGCACAAATGCATTTTGTGCCTGGGAGGTTGTTCTGGCACCTTCCAGAAACAACAGCGCAGAGGAAGAGCGTTTCCACAAAGAGGATCTATTCTGGTGCCACAGGAACCAGGAGCAACGTGGGAGAGGAGGGAGCTGTAGGAAACGGCTGAAAACATTAAATGCTTTAAAAGGATTTTTGTTGTTTCTTATCTTGGTGGGGAACCAGGGGCTCAAATGGCTCGGATTGAAGCCCCTTTGATTGTTGCACATTTGGAGTTCAGCTGCGAGCTCCCGGAGCAGCGGGTACGGGCACACGTGGCAGCCGGAGACAGGCTGGGCTGTCCCTGAGCCGCCCGCACCCCCTCCTCACCTACCCCCTCCCCAGCTGAAGAGCAGAATAAAGAGGGCCACGATTTGGCTTCATTCCACGGAGATGCTTATGCCATGGAAAAGCAGGCGGGTTGTGCTCAGGGGACCACCAAGGCAACTGAAGGAACGGGACTGAGGGCTGCAAGGACTGGAGTGCTCAAGGAACCAATCCAGGCAGAGGAGCTACCAATGCCCAGAGCATCCAGAGAGATCCTGCAGCGAGGGGAGGCTCAGCACTGCAAGGCACTTCTGAGCCAAGGGGAGTGATCTCCCCCAGAGCCAGTGATCCCACTGAGAGCAGAGCACTTTCTGCAGAAGCCCCTCTCAGCACAGACACAGGAGAGGCTGTGGGAAGCCCTGGGGCAGCTCAGCATGGCTAGGACACATCTCCCGGGAGCCACGGTCGGAGCACGGACAGGAACCCAGCAGAGGAAGGTCACGCTGCCGTTTCCTCGGCCCGTCGTGCTCCCCTGGCCCTCCTTCCTCCCAGAAATGATCCAGCCCTGCAGAGCAGAGCCATTAGCTCAGCCCTGTCCTGCAGCCACGGGAAGCAAACACGCTGCATTTGTGTGGCGTGACGCCATCCCCGTCCTCCTCCTGGACACCACGAGCGCTCCGAGGGACGGAGTCATGGCCAAGGAATGCAGAGCCCCGGTCACTGCCAGCCCCCTCCTCAGAGATGCTGTGTTTGGGGGGCTGCACCCCTGCACGTGCTGCTGGGGAAGGTGTGCTGGCCCCTGTGCTGCCAGGGATTGCAGAGGGAATCTCTTTTCCACCCGCACAGGGGCGAGCCCAGGGGTCACTTCCTGACCTCCGGCAGCTCCTCTTCCCCAAGTGGGACAAGAGCAACTCCGGCCTCCCTAGGAGGGGCCTCTCGGACAAGCTTGTGTCAACACTGGGAAGGCAACACCTTCCTGCTGGCAGCTCCACTCTGCTCACAGAGCCCCACACGGCCCAGAGCAGCTCGGCCAAACTGGGGCTCGCGGGGAGCAGCGGGACGCGGACCTTTACAGCAACAGATGCTAAACCACAAGAAAGGGAACACTCTCCATCCCTGCTTCACTCACAGCGCTGTGTGCCTGACTCTGGGCTTTTTATCTGCTCTGGGACCTGCCTTTCCAACCCACCCCTTCCAACCAGGGCACTCCCAGCCCAGCCCAGCTGAGCAGCAGCTTCAATCCTTCCCAGCTCCTCAGCAGAAGCCCTTTGCTGGCCAGCAAACATCTGCCCATTTCCCTCCCCCATCTGAAATCCTCTTCATTGCATTTAGTGTTTCGCAGGCTCAGTTTGCACCTCTCCTGCAAAAACCTGGCCTTTCACGTCACCACCTGCCCCACACTGGACGCTGCTGGGTGCCAGAAGTGGCCCGATAAAAGCAGCCAGTCCTCAGCAGCACAAGAGCCAAGATAACCCAGAGAAGTGTAAAAGCTGGCGCTGAGGTTTGCTGCTCTTAAGGAGCTAAAGCTGATGCAGGGAAGGAGGGAAAATGTCCCTGTACCCTGTTTGGACAGGGACAGGAAGGGAAGGACAGCTGAGCCCAGGGCTGGCATTCTCCCCCCGCCCGCCACCTTCCTCAGGAGCTGACTTTGATGGAGTGGAGCACCTGATCAAAGGAGTGCAGGAATGAAGGAGGAGACCAAAGACAGAGCTCCAGGGAAAGAATAAATGAGCCTTTGCAAAGACCTGGAGGGAGGAGAGGCCGGGCTGGGAGCTGGGCTGTGGAGGCGGGGAGGTGCTGAGCAGGGCGGGCAGGTGTGTTCTCGCTCCGAGCAGGAATGCAAACCTGACAGGCCATGGATCACTCAGGGAAGGCTGGACAGCTTGCTGCCAGCCCCTCGACAAGTAACCCGGGGCCTGATGCTTTAGATAAGCCCTTCCTCCTTTGTGGGGATTTCTGCAGGACAAACATCCCCCTGAGCCTCGTGACCGGCTCTGGGGTCAGGCATTGTGAGGGCCCCAGTGTCCCACCCAGCAGCCGGGCTGAGAGCTCAGCCTGTCCTGAGTGCAGCCCCGAGGCACTGCAGGGAAACGCTCTGGCTCAGCCGGAATAGAAAGCAATTCTTGAAAGTGCTCTTTGTTTCCCTGAAAAACCCAGGCTGGCATTCAGACTCCTGCTCGGGGTTTCGCTCAAAGAAGTTCGGAGCTAAGTGTCAGAATTCCGAGTGAAAGCTGGAAAGTTGGACTGCTTCCTTGTGTCAGGGAAAGCACAGGGAAGAAAAAAAACACACCCTGCTTAAAAAATTCACGTAGGTTTGCAAAGCCACAAGTCATTAAGCAGAGAACAAGCCACCAATTCTGTGGGCCCCACAAAAACGTGCTGCTCTCCCCTGCTGACTCCACACTGTGCCCAAAACCTTATTCCCAGCCCAGAACTGTCCTGACTGGGAATGTTGGGACAGAGGCCTGTGAAAAAGGCAGTGGATTAAATTATTGTTAGGGAAAAAAACCCAAAACCTGTTAATTTCAGCCCACGGTATTTGCAGGAGCAGAGAGATCAAGCCCAGCAAAGAGCCACTTTGTTTCGGTCCCTGAGGAGGCCAATTCAAACTGGAGCAAAAGGAAAAGTTAAACTTCTAACAGCCTCTGAACGACCCCAATCCCTCAGAAAATCAATTCCTGAAGCAACACCTCTATGTGTGTGTTCCTTTTTACTATTATTTTGGTTGAAAGCAGAAAGCTGAGGGTCGGCAGCACAAACCACACCGTGGAGCCCTGTTTGTTTTACCCAGCCAGGGCAGGTTGGGATGTGAGGCTTTAAGGTTTTACAGGCTGCCTGGATTTCCTGTTCTGAGGATCCAAACTCTGAATCCCACCCCGAGGAGGACTGGAAGCAGCATTTTATGCACAAAATGACTGTTTCACTTGCTGCTGGAGGGAGAAAAAGAGCTGGTGTTCCAGCTTGGGCCAGCACCTCTGCCACTGTCTGTGCATCCCCAGGTGGTGGACACCCACCCAGAACAGCTCCCACCTGTACTGGGCAGACTGGAGGGGAGGCTGGAGGAGGTGCTGAGCAGTTTCTGTGCTGCAGCCAAATGAAGCACATTCCCAGGCTCTGCAGAGGGCTTAGGGGGATGTCAAGCAGCATCAGCACTGACCTGTGAACAAAGCGCATTCTTGTGGATCTTCTTGTAAATAAGAGCTGGGCAGATGAAACAAATGAGGCTTCCCATGGTCGCACCTGTCAGGCCCAGGACTGTTTCCACTGGAGAAAAAGAGGAAAAGTCAGCAAAGGTCTTTTCCAGGAGTGCCAGAGCAGCAGCACAGGACAGCTGCCAGAGCCCCCGGGCAGGATGGGGTGTGAGTCTGATCACCCCAGCCAGGAAAACAAACAACAGAGCCCAGAGAAAGCAGCCAGCCCTTGTTCCCAGCTCCTCACTCACCATTGGGGATCATGATGCCTCCGACCATGGTTCCAAACACAACAGCCAGCGTCAGGGCTTTGAAGCGCAGCGGGGGCATGTAGCCCCCGGCAGCGAAGGTGCCGTCCTTCTGCTGGGAGGGCAAGGGTGGAGAGGGGAGGGTTAGCTCTGGTATTGCAGCCCCCAGCCCCTCAGCAATTCCCTCAGCCCCCCAGCAATTCCCTCAGCAATGCTGCCTGCAGCTCCAGCCCATCCCAGCCGTGATCCCCCTCAGCAGGACTCAGGGAACAGCCCAAGGGCAGGAGGAAGGAGCTCAGGGGCGCAGCAGGAGGGAGAGCTCTGGCTGTGCTAGGGAGAGGTGTTCCCCAGCAGCTCTGGGAGCAGGGCCATCCCCTGCACAGTGTGACATGGAGACACCCCAGGGAGAGCACAGGGGAGGGTGGGTGCTGCTGGGCAGCTGCTGGAGGAATTCCAGAGGCCCTCTGCTTCCCATCCCACCCCACCTCCTGAGAGGGAGGTGTGGAAGGCAGAGGCCCCAGTGTGCCCTGCAGACCCAGCAGGTCCCAGCTCTGCTGCTGCTGCACAGATGGGGGAGGAAGGCAAAGCGACACCTCCAGAGCCCAGCCAGCCACGAGCCGAGCCCAGGCGAGATCCAAAGTGCTCCCAAGTGTTTCCAGCGCTTCCTCCTCTGCACCCGCTGGCTCTCACCGAGCCTGCCCCCATCCTCAGGCCCTCCCAACGTGAGAAAAGAGCCGGGGGCTTCTCACAGGCAGAAGTGGCAGGATTTAGGGCTATAAATTGCTCAAGTTTTATTTCCTGCCTAAGAGGTTTCTATTTATGCGGATACACAAAGGCCTCAGAACATTCCCACAATCTCCCAGTGTTATTTGCTGAATCCCATCGGCGCGCTCCGCGCGCACAATGCACAGAGGAGAACACGCCACTGCCACAAGGGACCCACAGTCTCCAGCACACAGACCAGCCTCAGTCACAAAGGCTGCCTGAGGAGCTGGCCCTGGGAAAGGTGGAACGTGTGGGAGAGGGCTGGATCCAACATCCCACCACCCGCCCCGGCACCGCAGCCCGCGAGGCGCTGGAGGAAGGGGACATCCGAACCCAGGGAGGAAAGGGCTGCTCCAGGGCTGCTGACAAAGCTGCTGGGTGAGAATAATGGAGCAGGAATCAGCAGGCACACAAGGAAGCAACAAGAAATGGGGCTGGGCTGGGCTCTGAGGCCAGGAACGGGAGCTTGAGCTCAATGAGTTGGCCAGCAAAAGGACAGCAGCTGGAGCAGCAGGAAATGAGGAGGCTCTGCTGCTTCCAAAAGCACATTTCTCCCTTTTTCTGAGGGGAAGAAAGCACCTCGGCTCTGAGCTGTGTAATGTGTCCATGCCAGAGCTGGAATCCCCAGCAGAGCAGAGAACAGCAGCCACGGGACATGAGCTTTACACTGGGAACTCACTCCTTTGGCCCATGGAATTCCTCTGCAGAGAGGACACAAAGCTCCAAGTGCCAGGGATTAACCACTGAGCAGAGCAGGATTCAGAGATGGCCACAGGCCCCTGCTGCACTGTCACCACACCCCGGGCACTGAGGATTTTATGGGAGTTGAGGTTTTGTCCCTCTGGATAGTGAGTACCTGCCACATGCCATTATCACCAGGGTCTCAGGGAGCCAAGGCCAGTTTGGGGCCCAGTCAGAAATCAAAGAGTCACAAAAACCCTCCAGAAACCAAGCTTCACACTAAGACATGGGATCTTACCTGCTGCTCAAAGAGCAGGGTGTTGAGAGCCTGTCTGCAGGGCAGGATCATCATGGGGAACCCCACTGCCACGGACATCATGAACCCCACTCGGATCATCTCCGTCACCACGTTGGAAGGGAAGTTCATCAGCACGTTCCCAGCAATGGCCTCGGTGTAACTCACATAGCCAAAGAAGCCCACCTGGAGAGGGGAGGGGGGTTGGACTCCCAACATTTCACACCAGCTCCTCACAGAGGGGACAGGACAGTGACCTCCCGCTGGAGCAGCTGGGCGGGAGCGTGAGGTCACTCCAGGGGCACCCCAAAACCTGGGACAGGTCGTTAATCAAGAGTGGGAACTGCCTCAAAGCAAGTTTCTCATCAAATCCAGGGGTTTTCCTAGAGGAAAGGGTTTTCCTTTCTTGCTGCCAGGCCTGTGGACTGTCCCTCTCCAATAGAGAGAGGGGGCTGTCACAATTCCCTGCAGCAGCCTGGCTCATGGGCCAAGGCTCTCCTCAGGAATTATTAACCCAGTTTTATTAACTGCTGCCTTATGAGGCATAACTTCCTACCAAACAGGCTGGAAAAAGCTCTCCCAAACTCTGGGCAGCAGCCCCTGGGAAGAGCTGGGTTTCACTCTGCCTCCATCCAAGGAAACATGCTACTCTGAAAACCTGGATTCTCCCAGTGCCCCCCGTGCCCTTGGGTTCATCACCTCCCACCTAACTCTGCTTTCAGCACGAGGACTTATCTGTCAGAATAAATAGAGATAAGCAGAAAGCAGCCCCAGCTGTAGATAAAGCTTCATCCCTGTGGCCCCTCCAGATTTCTGGCAAGGGAAGAGAAGGGGAAGTTCCTACCATGATGTAAAAGGTGGTGACCACGTTTAGGGAAGAAGCAAATATGGAGCTCATGATTTTGACAGACGGCTCATCCAAGCTGTCGTAAGTAGGCAAGACCTGACTGTAAAAAGGGTAAAATATTTAAGGCAACCTGCAGGAAACGGGAGAAAAACCCCCAATCCCAGCCCAATCTCTGCCTCAGCCCAGCAGCAACGAATCCCTGACACCTTCCCCCTCTGGAGCATAAACACCTGCTGCTATTCCACAATTTATACTGCTAATGCCAAGAGATTTCAGAGCACTCATAACTTTTAAGTGTTGCAAAAATATTCCTGCTCTCCCCACCCCACCACGTGGAGCGAAACGTGTGATGTAAACATTTGGGTTCAGGAAGGGTTGCAAAATGAATGACCGTTTGTTCCCGGGGCCATGGATGGCTCTGGGCCAGCCCCAGCGCCAGAGATTATTGTTCTTGGAGCTCTCCGTGCTGATAATTAAAGCAACACAGTGTTTACAGAGGAAAAGAGGGAAGAAGGTTGGAGCATCCCACTGTCTGAAGGAAAATTAAACAAACAAACCCCAGCGCAGCAGCCTGTCCTACTTCAGCTTGCTTCACAGAAAGCCACAAGTGCCAATTCCCTGGGATTTGGGGTATTTACAGCCTTGGAAAGCGTGGGGAATGTTCCTTTTGACATCAGGTGCATATTTTAGCAACTCATTAACCTCTTGTTACTTTAATTCTAGCGGCTACATCCCGGAACTCTCGGGAGATGGGAAGGGTATCCCCAGCTCCAGTGGGCACCAAGCCATCCCCAGGAAGTGTGTCAGGCTGGGGCCCTGCAGAAACACCCTTAACCCTTAATTCCTGAACGTGAAAGGAGGCTCTGGGGCTGGAGGTACCAGCAGGGAGCAAGGACTTCCCTGGGGGACTCCGTCTGGGATTTCTCCCTGGGACTGAGGAGACTGGCTTCCCAAAGTCTCTCCATTTAGGATTCCTCCCTGGAGAAAGGAGATTGGCTTCCCTGGGAAT